CCACCACACAAAAAAAAAAAAAATAAAAAGAAGGAAGGGAATCGGGCGGGGCGTTGGGCCCAGTAATCTCTTTTTATAGGTTTGAAGGGAACAACTGGACTCCGAATAACTATCTAAATTGTAAAGTCGTCAAATTGTGGGTAATGATTAAATTTTGTTGTTGAAATTACTCCCTTCATTAAGACGATAACTCTTAAGTTTCCATTAGAAAATGATTCATGGTCTTCTAAGGAGTTTACTTATATTTTTTTTCTTTTATATGATTTTCCCATTTAATGTTATTGTGAATTTTCTTCAAGTAATACTCTAAAAAAAAAAATGTGACAAAAGGGCAAATCAAAAATAAATTTATCAAGTAGAGAGGTGTAAATTTGTCTTATACTTGCCGGAAAATGTCAGAAAGCTTATGACCCTCATACACATTATCGGTATTTTAATACGTCAAATAATAATATTCGTGTAATTTGGTAATATAATCACAGAAGATAATATTTATCCCAGATATTACATTAAAATAAATCAATATTAAAATGATTTTATGTTTCCATAATCTTTAGTACATGTAAATGGAGTAATAACTTTTATATGAGTCTACTTAGAATGATAATCTGAAATGTTTCTCACGCCATGGTGGGCGGCGCATTGTTGCATATCAAGTGTACTTTCTGAGTGAAAGTTTCCTCGCATATTGAACCTGGAAAGGTTTCTTACATGTGGGTGCGCATGTGCTATCCGAAGTGAGCTTTCGAATGAAGGTTTTCGAAATTTGAACATGGAAAGGTTTCCTCACCATGTGTGTGAGCATGTGCTTATCAGTTTTCTTTCTGGAGTGAATGTCTTCTACAGATTTGAATCACTGGAAAGGTTTCACCATGTGGGTGCGCATGTGATCAACAAGTGTCCTTTCTGGATGAAAGTCCTTCTCGCAGATAGAACAGCTGGAGAAGGTTTCTGCACTCAGTGTGGGTGCGCATGTGCTATCTAAGTGTCTTTCTGAGTGGAAAGTCTTTTGCGATAAAACGCTGAATGGTCTTCTCGTCACAGTGTGGGTGCGCATTGAACCAAGTTCTTTCTGGATGAATGTTCTCGCAGATTGAACACTGGACAGGTTCTCACCAGTGTGGGTGGCATTGTGCTTATCAATTGTCCTTTTCTGAGTAAGTTCTCTTGCAAAATGAACAGCTGGAAAGGTTCCTCACCAGTGTGGGTTAGCATGTGTGCTACAAGAGTTTTTTTCACAGAGAATAGGTCTTCTCACACTGGAACACTGGATTGGTTTCTCGGCGTGTGAGTGCGCCATGTGCTTTTTCAAGATTCGTTTTAGAGTGAAGGTCTTTCGTCACACATGGAACCTGGAAAGGATTTCTCACAAGTTGTGGGAGCGCAGTGTACTCAAGTTTCCTTTATAGTTGCAGTCTTCTGCACTCACGGAACACTGGAAGGTTCTCACCAGTGTGAGTGCGCCATGTTGGTTATCTCAATTGTCCTTTGCTGAGCGAAGGTCTTCTGCAATATTGAACACAGAAAGGTTTTCCACAGTGTGGGTTTCGCATTGTGCTTAACTCAGGATCTTTTTCAGAGAAGGTTTTTTTCACAGACGGGACCATTGGAAAGGTTATTCACGCAGTGTGGGTACGCAGTGGATTAACCAAGTTTTTTTCTCAGTGACGGTTCTCGCAGATTGAACATGAAGGTTTCCACCAGTGATGGTCGCCTGTGCTTACTCAAAGTTCTTTCGCGAAGGTCTTTGAGATAAACCTGAAAGGTTTCTCCCAGTGGTGGGTGCGCAAGTCGCGCTACAATCTTGCCATTTCTACCTGAGCAATCGTATTGCAAATGGACCTTAAAAAGTTTCTCTGAGGAATGCTGCAGTTGGGAGGCGTTCTCGTGGTGCGTGGTCTGGTCATGAGTTGTTGAGAGCTACTTCAGGGATAACAATCCGAATCTGTAGTGTGGGTTCTGTCTGTATGAATGGATTAGTGTTGGTTGTTCTGCTGAATGCATATTCGCATTACCTATAACAAAAAAGGTTAGTATCAGAAAAGATCTATAGGGTATGATAGCAAACTACAAAAGTCTGAGCGTTAACAATTAATCATTTCGTGATATTACAACATGCAAGCGAGTGCAATAGTTCCGGAAAGCAGGAAGATGGCGCACTTTTGGCAAAAGCATGAATATTGTTTTAGTTAGTATTTGGGTTTTGCAATTATTGCAAAAAGGTAAAAGTGTAATATTTAGACAAAAGTATAGGTTTTATATCTCAAGAAAGTAATTGAAATTAAAGCAGATGATCCTTTTAAGATCTGACCTATATTTTGAGATATTGATCAAATATTTTTTCAAAATTTTAACTATTAAACATTCTCTTCGAAAGACCAACCGGTTGATGGGTTGACCACTCAATAACTCTGTTAAGGCAGAGCTATGAACTCAGTCCTCGGGCAAGTATTAGCCCTGGGCAAAAACATTTGATTGGTTCAATGAAATGCTAATTCTTAAAATTATGACACACAGACTTATGATAGTGAAAGGGACATTATAAAAAAAACAATGGACTTAGAGTTAAAGTAAAGCGTAATGAATTTTTACAAACACAATGATAAACTTTTTGGCGACTTGATAGAGATGAGATCGTGCGGGAGAAGATCTAATTCAAGCAAAGAGTTACATATGTTCCCGACTTATTCTCCTGTTGATTAGGTGCTTTCGAATACCCATGTACATCATACTCGTGCAGTTGAACGAACACTAAGTTTACGGGCTTTAAAATAACAATTTCATACAATAACAATTCCATATTAGCCCTCCTTCTGTTGCTAGTATTTGGCCAATATTTATAGTTTTTCATTAAAACTTGTGTTTTCAGAATTATATTGGATAGATTTTGTTTTTTTATCCAGCAATTTAGTATATTTTATGAGGATGCCATCTTATGTTATAAGTTTTTTTCCTGAAAGTAAGCTTTGATCCTACATTTTGGTTCTTGAAAGTGAAAATCGATTATTTTATGAGGCCGATAACCATTCATAATTTTACTTTTTCCTGAAATTGATTGTCTGTGGTGGAAAGCATAATTTTCGACAGAAAAGTTAACTTTCGTTTTGCTTCACCAGACTTCCACGCCTGTCTTTCAGACACGAGCCAGGGTCGGCCTTGTGAATTTTCGTCCACCATTTTTTGTTCTCAGTAAGATAGTCTTGGTAATAATGGAGTTTGACTAATAATGCTTTGTTTCTGATATGGGCTGGCAATAAGTTCAATATATTCGTCATTGAATATTATTCTATCTCTTGACGTATTTAGTCATTAATTGCAGCAAATGTTCGATCACATGGGAGAAATTAATGACCGTGGAGGAGGTTTAGTACTCGGAATACCCATTACAGAATATTCCAGATTTTTACAGGTTGTTACATTTATCCGTGATAATTGGTATTGTTTATTTTGAGAGCTGGCAGATGCTCATCAGAAACATTAAATCTACTTCCTTCTAAGTTTCCTTGTAGTTCAGATTTTAATTATATGTTGGAGTTTGTAAGTATGATTGCCGGCAATAATATGCTTCTTGCACGTGTATGCTTGGAAGTTAAATATTTTGCATGTATTCAAGTACATAGCTCCTGCAATTTCTATTTCGCATACTTTTGTTTTACTTACATTTTTTCATAGAACTTATTTACTTCTTCTTTAATGCATGCAGTTAGGATATAGGCTACACATTTTGCAGTGTTTCTTTAAATGTTTCAACTCAACACCTACTTTCTTGTGAAAAGTGCTTCAAATTTACATTTACTGTAGCGCTTAAAAACGCTACAAAATATTTTCAAAGAATATTGTCATTTAGGACGCAGGTTTTAATGTTATTATTAATTAAAATAATAATTTTCGCATCGAAAAATAAGATTGTTTAAAAAATGTATTTTGAGACGGCCACTGAGGATCCGAATCATTAATGCATACTGCAATGGTCAAACTTGTTCGTCGTGAAATTAGTTCGCTGTTGCGTCTCATTGATATTTCTTACCGCTTGAAACCAAGATCTAAGTTATTGATTAGAATGGAAAGAAGGCAGTCCAGTCTTGTAATAGTGAAATTATTACGTTTGTTGCAGTGGTTTGGGGATTATTGTGGATATCGTAAAAATATTTAATCCAAATTCCTCCTAAAGAAACCCAATAGATTAATTGTTCTCAATGAAGAATGAAATATATATTTTACAGACAATAGTATCTGACATTTGGCAAAGACGCTAGCAGTGTTGAAAAACTTAAACTTTTCCTGTCGATTCTCATCTAAGCATTTGCATCGTAACGCTGAATAGTCAAGAATAAAGAACGTGAATAACCAGAAAATGTAAGATTGTAAGCAAGTTAGATTGGCGCATATCAATAGTTACTTAGAATATTAAGATTAATCGGCAGTAATTTTGCTGCATCTTCTGTCTGGCATCGTAAACAGACAAAGACTGGGATGAGAGAGTCTACGAGATTTCACGTTAAGAGCATCGCCAATTTCGAAATGGAAAGGCGCTTCATCTTGTTGCAGGAATCTGACGGAGGGACCATGGAAGGGTCTTCATAAATGTCAACAAGGCTCGTTCCAGTGCCTGACATTCGACTTGCGGGCGGGAATAGTGGTGGCAAGGTTATATGCGTTGCAAATACATCGAATTTCTCGGATAAGGATTTCCTATTGAACATTTGAATTATATCACAAAATAAGATAATTTGCTTAAATTTGGTCCAACACTTCCGTAAAGGATAAGACAATTGTAGCTACAGTAACCTTATTTGAAATGCAATTATTGCATTTTATATTTTCGTCGGCCATATTAACGAGCCAAAGCAGTTCACTATGCAATAAAATTGTAGCAAACACGCGGCTAAACAAAAGGAAAAATGACCATGAATGCTTGAGCAATCGGATTTTCTCAAGTTGTCAGTTATTCCTCGTTCGCGCAGAAGGGGAAAAGTAATACAAGAGACCACGAATAAAGCCTGGATTGGACCGAATGAATACGGGGAAGCAGGAAAATACACCAGGGCATCCAGGTACTCTCTCTGAGAGATAGTCTGCCTCGATGAGCTAGTAAAAAAACAGCATTCGGTTTTATTCTAAACGAAGAACATTAGATATTTTTTCTACTTTAACTTCAGTCGCGACAAGGCAGTCATTTCGATTAAGACATCACGAATTATAAAGGAAAAGTGCTCGCATCTTAGAAAATAACAACTTGATATGTAAATAAATCTCCATTAAGTTTTAGGTTGTTCGGCGCAACCTTTAGCACTCTGCAACTCGGTCGTGCTGTTTCACAATGGGATAGACGTTTTCTGTTCCAACCGCGCGCAATTCGTGTTTGTAGATACGTAAGGAGTTTAAATTATCAGCGCTAGGTTTTATGCTTTAATAAACCAAAATGTATTGGGATTCAGTAAACTCTGCGAGACAAAGACATATTTTATTCAGGTAATATATGCAAAAGATCTTATCGGACGCAAACGAACAAATTTCAATTCCACAGGAAAATTTTCAAGGAATGACTCAAGCGATCTTTCGGGCGCTCTTTTTACACACAATGTAGGTTACAATGCGTAAAAATAAATAATAAGACCAACAATTAAAAATGACACCCTCCGGAAAATTGGGAATTTTAAGACTATTTGCAGTATTAACTCTGTTGAGGACCAGATAAATCTTTGAAATTTGCACAGTAAAAGATCTCTTGATAGCAGAAACTGCATAATAATTTCAATTTGTATTGTACATCTTTCAGTAAAAAATTGCGCGGAAATTACTAACTTAAAAAATGTTCAATCATTTTTAAAGAACTATTGTGGAGCACAAATGTCATTTGAAAACAAGATTTTAATCTCTTGTAAAATGTAGAAGAGATGGATAAAATGTTGACTTCAGCGATTCTTCAAATTTTCAGCGTCTTAGGTAAAATGCCATCCCTGCATCTTTAAGTTATTTCAAATGTATTCCTAACAATATCAAGATAACATTTAGAGCTTTTAAAATTTTGAAAATGTTTCATCGAAGCTTCAAAACAAACCAAAATGTCAAGAACCTTTATCAACAATATCAGGGTTTAAGGTAGGTCTTCTCGATTAGTAATTTTGGTTTTCGCTGAAATCATACGAATGGTGTAAGGCATTAGAATTCGTTCAAGGAGGACAGAAGTAAAAACAACAACCACATATTTTGGTATAACGGAACACCAAAATATAGATTTTGATGCTAAGTTTTTGAAGGTAATTTACGAGAAAAAAGCTTTGTCAGCTGGATAGGAAGTAAAAATTGTCTTTTTTGACATTTCTTCCATAAGAATATTATTAATTATATCTTAATTACGCTATTCGAGAAATAAGTGCTTGTAATTAAATTCTCAAAGGCGTTTAAATAATTACTCTGGAACCTGGAAAAGTGCTGCTACAGTGAAGCTTCATTCTAATTTCAGATGAATGAACTGAATTAACATTGCAAAAAGCTACTTAACCATTTTCAAGGAAATGAGGGTTGATCGAAGGGTTATCAAGAAGGGAAAGGACGCTTTTTGATGAACTCAGGAACGACAATCAATTTCAATACTTTTGCAATGTGATAAGTTTGTTCATTACTACTTTTCGGTCAATTCACAAAATTGTCACACCAATATCTGGACGAGTATGGTGTAGTAGCAGCGATAAAAATTACAGGCATCAATATTGTTACTACATAAACAGAGTTATAATTCCCTTGAGTATTTGCGTACTTAGTGCCTTCTTGGGCGCCGAATCGATGCCGTTTAAAGCCGGTGCAGAGAGTTGCGTCTGCAAGCATCAGTCACTCAAAGTCTATTTAAAGAGAAGGGAATTCTTGCCACATTAGGGTTTGTGCACGCCCAGGTAAATTTTTACCCAAGTACTGTACTTACCACCATGTTGGACCATAGTTCACAAGATTAATTAAATATCAACACTTAACTGGGGATACATCGGATTTCTTGTTTAACTTGTAGGCAAGCAGAAGCACCATCACTGCAGAGCAGAGGATCCTACAGAATAAAAATTATAAACATCTCTTCACGGAGTTAAAATATTGAGATTGAAAACTTTAAACTTCATTTGGTAGGGTAAATGTACTTTGAAAAGATTCTTAGTACTCATTTTGTCTTTAATGTTTTGCAATTCGGTTATTCTTAAATTGAGCATTAAAATGGATGATTCTGTTTTCAATTGACGCAATGAGCAGATAAATCATGTGAGTTTTTTATTACTGCATCTTGTGCTGTAAGTTTTAAAATCAACGGGAGTGGTGATGTTCTTCTCTAGTTGGATTTTAAAATCCAGCGCCATCCAGGTACAGGTGGCGGAGTTACTCATTTCCTACCAGGGGACACCGCCAGTCTGGACCGCCTAGTTAGACACATGTGCTAGGTAGTGCTGTAGTGGCGGTCCAAGAAGGGGGCGGATAGGAAAAGAGGAAGAAAAGATAGAGGCGCGGCACATGGCCGTTTGTTAGCAATATCTGCGGGCAATGGTTTAGAGAAGCCAAGGTCAACTATCGACAGACAGCGAACGCTGTAGAAGGCTCCTCAGACCCTGCACGGTCGGGCTTGAATCTTCAGAGTCTCTCATGTTCAGAGCACGGGAAACAACACGCGCTGACGGAATTCTGCGCCTCTCATTAACCTTACTGATTCGAAATCATGACGTTATTCCATAGGGCATTAAAGAAATAGATTAAGAGACGTACAAGATAATTCACGGTCTAATGTTTATGAGCAAGCAAGCTGAGATCGCTAGTAATATAGAACTTGTAACAAACGAATTTAGGGACCAATTTCTCGTTTGGAATACGATTTATTTACAATGGACCAAGCATGCGTGAATGCAAAGAGAACTATGAGTTTGAAGTACGTCTCTTCCTCTGACATTACAATATTCGGTTACCACTAAAACACATTTGCCACCGTTTAAAACTATTGCTTATATTGAACGAAAACAATTTTTTTAAATGTACGTACCTTTTACTAAAGAATTATAGAGAAATGTACTCAAAGGAAAAATCTCAACCTTCAAATTTGTAGTTGTAGGAAGATGCTAAAATAAATTCAAACTTACAAAATTTGAGAATTATGTGCGAACGGACCTATGATATCTTTATAACTGCATTTATCACTTTTCTTTGAAAACAAAATTGAAAACTGTGGGACTTCATGTAAAGGGCCTTCAAATATTATTGAAAATTTTACAAAATTGGAAAGCTTCGAGTCGAGCCAGATCGACAGAGAAATATTCAATTTGGAAAAAATCCTACGTATTTTAGGGTTTAATGGTGTTCACAGATGGACGTTTAAAAAAAATTCCTTTTTCGCTATCAGGGGACGCGAAAACGTGTATTTCCGTTGACATTTAGAAACTGACATTTTCCAGTATTACATAATTTTCTCTATACTAAGCATATTACTCCGTATATACGTACGTATTCCAAAAAGGAAATTAAATATTCAAGTACAAGTAAATTTTTCTCTCCGTAATTAGTTCTTTGATGAAGATCAAGTAAACTTTATAATTTATTTATTTTCGAATTTTAGTATTTGTCGCGCAATATTGCGTGAAATGTTTAATATAAAAAAAACAAGATTTTCCCTAAAACGGCTTCAAATATTTTCTATAAAAGGTTCGGATAGTACCAAATATACTGTGTAAGATTACATAAACGGAATTCTGCGCTCTTTGTTGGTTTTTTCTTTCAAAAATGACAAAATATAATTTTCTTGACTGTCTCATGCACTCGGTAACTCGTTGGTCAGCGCGCTGGCTTTCCACAGCGCAACCTCAGATTCGATTCCCGGACGGGGCTAAAGTTAATTGTACGCTTTCCTAGAAATTTTCAAGCATCTGTTGCTGTGTGACGCTAAGAAAACTCACTTCTCAGGTTGAGAAAGCGTTTTAAATGATACTGTGATATAGAATGTCGCACGGAAGTAATTCAACGTAATAGATGCACCGAGAATGTTAAAATACAAGGAATACGCATAGCTCTATAGTAAGCACTTACCCACACAAACTATAAAATGGCATGCTCTGCAATGAGACGTTTGCCTATAACAATAACTGTGAATGCCACTTAACGTCGAGGATGTGAACTGGCAGGAACGAAATAAACAGCTCACAAAGTCTTCCAATGACAAACACATGCTCTAGAAACGTTACACATGGCAATAGTCATCTACACTTACAATCGTAAGAGCAATGGGAATGAGTGCAGAGAATGCACCAGAAACCACACAGTATTTAAGACGTCGAAATGCGAATGTAACCTGTTATTCTTACCTCTTCTTCGTGAGTACATGATGTTTCTTGCTTAACTGGTGGCGCAATAAACACAGCAATTGGAGGCTGCAACTTCTCCTGTACAAAACAAAGTTAGTGGTGATAAATCAGCAACCAATCTTAAATCAAATGTGGAATTTCGTTTAGGATTAAACGAAAACTTGCATAAAACATATGTGAGAAACTATCATTCAAAATATTTTGTTTGATAATTGAAATACTACATTGCATACTAATAAATCAATTGTATATCATATTAATGAATTCTTTGTAAAAAATTGGGTCAAAAAATGGTCGAAAATGTCATCACGCAATGATAGTCAAAGATACTTTGGACGGAACTCCAATGGATTCTAATTTTGCAACTCCAATGAAGAATTATTGATTGTCATTAAACACCAATTCTTAAAAGCGCGGAGAGGTTGATCACATTCCTATTGTATTGATTAAAATTGCTGCAGATTATATAATGAGGCCATTATCTTTCATTGTAAACTAGCGAGACCAGACCGACGTTGTCCTGCCCTCTCTCGTTCTCTTTTTCCTTGTCCCTGTCCCTCTCTGTCACCGACTCTCCTGGGCACATTTTCGTAATCGCAGGGGCAGAATATGCAAACAAGTCGCTCTTAATACTCGCACTTCAGGGTGTGGCGTGTTGCGTTGAGCTCCATTGCGTAGAATGCCCTGTTCAGAGGCGCTTGAGTCAGCATTCATTTATTATCAACGCCCGTCTTCGTGCGCCGTCTTAAGTACAATTCCATCGTAAACAATGCGTATGACTTCTTCCTCGCGGCACGACGTGAGCAGCAATAGCCTAGACAAAGTTTTATTTCAAAATCGAACGAACAATACGGCAGCGCATTAATGACAAACCAACGAACAAACACACATTGTTTTTATATTGTTATAATGCAAATGAATGGATGGGTAAGATGCATTACCTTTTTCAAATTCCGAAGTGTTTCTAAATATATATACCAAAGCAAGGTACAGGGAGGGAGCCACGAATTACACACCGATTTTTTGAATTTCGAATTTTCAAATACTTTTGAAAAGGTGATGAAGAAAAATAATGATCAAACTCACACCCACAAAATAATAAATAATTTCCTCTGTTTGCTTTCCAGAAAAGTAAAAGTACTGAGAATGCAATTAAATATTTAACAGACCAAATCTGCTGTGTAATTCATAGAAATGAATCTTGTTTTTCTATCATTGTGGATTTTATCGAGACAGACTTTTCCAAATAAGGTATATTTTTGAAGCTGGCATTGCTTACAAATATTGTTTAAGAATTCGGAAAATGCATTACATAAATTATGTTTGACAAACAGCGTAGTTTTCACAGTTCCTATGCTCACTTCAATGTTTTTAGAGTTTTTCCTTGTATTGGTGACTCTTTCCCTTGCAGAATCAGCTCCCGTTAAAACAATACCATATTAGGCACAATTTTTTTTATATTAATTAATTGGAATATGCTTGCTTTTAAAATACTTCGTTACTACACACCTAGCAACAGAATATGCATTTTTGTTAGTCCACTGAGTAATTTTGTCTTTGTTGCATTCCTTTTTACATTACATAAAATTCAAATAATTTTCATTAATGACCAGAAAAGAAATCAACAAAATTAAATAGTTAACCTAATAATATAAGATTTGGAAGTCAATGATTCATGACAATCAAATTTCTAGATATTCTAGACAGTTAGAATAAAAATGTATGAGTAAAACCAAGGAAGATGTAAAAATGCTAATCTTCCTCTAACTGCAAAAGATCATTTTTTATCATTTACGCATTTACTAATATTGCAACTGGATTTTCAATTGGATTTCTAAGCGATAAAATACTTCTGAAGCTCAAAAGTGTTGCTATTTCCTTCCTCACTTTTCAATGCATTGAGAAAAACTACAGCCTGTGAAAGCAAAAATATCAATTGTAACTTTGCACAGTCCTTTCAAAATAAAATTTAATTGCCAGGCGACATTAGTATAACAATAGAAAATATGACTTCAATGGTTTAAAACATTCTTTCAAATCCTTTCTAACGCTGGCAACCAAGCTCTCTCATCATGCAATTGCCAAAAATGAGTTGATACTCAATACAGTTTATCGCAAAAGTCTTTAAATTTTTTTCTCCACTACTCTAATCTAAAAATGAAATTTTGATATTGATGCTCTCAATGTCTACTGGTACAACATCTGCAGCATTCAAGATTGTGTTATGTATAATATACAGCACAACAAACTCCAATTACATGTTGATCAAGATCATTATCTGATTTTGTAAAATCATTTTTGATGCCTTTTCAAGAAGCAGCACCAGAATTTGTATCTGAAGTTTATCTGGGAAGAGAGATAAAATTAAGAAATTTAACATTGGATCCAGAAAAAGCAACAAAGCGATAACAAGTACAGCAGTATGCTCTGAAGGAGGCCACAATACGCTGGGCGAAACGTTAGCCTCCATGACATTGACACGGCTCGTCCCAGATAGCCTAGACAACATATTCTCCGGACACCGAAACCTACGCAACCAAAGTAATAACAGTTCATATGTCTAGGAATTTCCATATATTCATTAACATGACAGCATTGCCATTTAATTTTCTCTTCATCATCACACTGTCGAATATCTGTGGATCTACTTCTAAAACAACCATATATGCGTTTTTGAATTTCCTGTTTATGCTCACTTGGATCTCTCAGTCTACTTTAATTATTTCAGGATTTTGATTCCTTGTGGCCGTTATCAATTGAAATTCATCCATTACCTCTTCTATTTCATAAACTCTCAGCTTTGGATTCTTCAATTTTGGAATCTTTAGCACATATTCATCGCCCATTTTTGCCTTGATTTCTGTATCTAATTTCTGAATTTCTTCCTTGCTTGTGCAAATTATTACAATACCTTCATTTCTTATCTTCCTGATATTTTCATATCCTGCTTTCATCTCTACAGGTTTTAACATTTCTTCCATTGTTGACATCATTGTATCCATCATTTCATTCATTATTCTCTTTAGTGGAGTATCAATTTAGTGAACATTCTCTCTACACTCTTCACATAACCATTTCATTTGCTTATTTTATTTATTTATTATTCTCAATTCCTAAACCATAATCTTAGCATATGTTGGAAGAAACAACTTTTAGCACACACCTTGACACCCCACCCAGTCCTCATTTTCAATATTTTTCTTGCACTTTCCCACATTCATCTTCATCTCCCATCTTGATATTGAGGTAATGTCCAAATGATGAGCCACCCAATCTAGTCAGCTTTAATGTCATTATGAACTCCCACTAATTTTAAGAGCACTGTATACCTCACTCATAAACATCGTTTAAACCATTTAAATAAATATTCATTCATTAAAACTTGCAAAAATATCTGCTATAACTTTAATTCAGAATTAAATCTAATTCATTACCTGTCATTAATCATGAACATCTTTTCACTATAAGCCTTGATATGGAAAAGACTTATGACATGGTTTGGAGAGATAGAATTATTAATATATTACTTCAATAGGGAATAATTGGTAATATCTTGACATAGCAAATTTCTTAAATAGTTTTATACATGTTCAATTAAATCATGCACTATACAATAAATACTACATCCAAAACAGTGCCCTTCAACGTATTATCAGCATATTATTGTTTTTAATCGCAATCAACAACAAGACTTTGCAATTTCCTGGACCCCTAAAAAGACATTTTTAAGCAGATGACGTCACTACAACAGTTATCTTAAAAAATATAAAATATCTTACTCAAAATTTCAATACATTCTAAATGATAAAAAGGAAAACTAGCTCACTATAAAATCTTGTCTTCATTGTTTTAAGGCAATAATTTTAAGAATGCTTTATGACAAGAAATTAACCGGGAAACAACACAATATCACTTGAAAATAGAATGTCTAAAATGAATGAACATCATCAAATCTCTTCCATCTACTTCCTGATCGCCAAATATATAAATTGTTCTTCTCACATACAATGCATTAATACAATCATAACTGGACTATGGATCTATAATAACCAGTCAGCTACTTCATCTATATTAAAATAATTAACTCTATACATACACTGTACTTCATCACAGTCAAAATTAATAAAATAATGTTCTTCCCACTCTGTTACATAATTTATGCTCAATTTTCTAGTGTGAAACTTATGCTATCCTTGCTGCACTCAAATACATTGAAGAAAAAGAAGACTATAAATGTATCATCTTTATTAATTAATAAGTGTCCTAAATAAAAATGAATGAATTATAAAAGACATCAATACCATTGACTATGGTCATGGTGAATTTCTGGAGACTAACATGTGCGGTTCATTTCACCTGATGTCAAAATTAAATAGAATTTATCCAGAATGATTGATTTTATTAAAATAGAGATACAGCAAAATTCATTAACAGTATGAACTGAAAATTCCATTATCTTTATTTGCCTTAAAAACAACAATTGTTTACTTCGTACACTTTTTATTAGTAATTTCTCTGGATCCTTCTCCACAGTTCATGCTCTCTCCATACTTCGGTCTGCATTGTACTCTTATTTTATATTTCATAATGCATTCTTAACATTTTTCAATGCCTATTGCACTGATGAAACAGCATCCCACACTCCGAAGGCCCTTTTAGTAGCTTAATAACATCCAAAATAAAATTCATCTCCAGGACTGTGTTTACTATAGACCAGGTTGTGATTCAGCATAATCGAATCTTCTTAAGCTTATTTGTAATGTAAGTGAAACGGGACCTGTGACTTAGGGAGTCAACGCCAATATATCTGTAGTCAACGGTATATACAATGATTTGGCATATAACAATATAGTCATAATTCTTATATGGATAGCATTCCTTAAAGGATTCCAAGCTAATAGTATCTGGTGGATACAGCTGCTAACCAAGCACATGACTCCCTCTCCAAGAAAAAACAGTTTCACAAGACAAGGAAAGAACTCCATACACGTATTAAGGTTTAGTGGAACACTAATGTGGTATAGTCATTCTAGTCACCTCCAAGTATTTTTCATAATTATGCTACTTCCCTTTAAACAAGAAGAAACTACTCTCGCAAAATTTCGAATAGGACATGGCCGACTTACTTATTCACATCTGTTCAATAAAGAATCTCCACCACTCTAATTCGTGTAATATTCTAATAACTACTCATCATATCCCAATAGAGAGCTCAGTATTGAGTGCTACATAAAACACATTCAATTTCAAATTGCCTTTCAAACTTACTAACGGAAACCTCTCGTATTGATAATGCATTCATATTTCTAGGGGTTATAAAATTATATGATGAATTGTAAAGTATTGTATAAATGGTTGGAAATGACCTTGCAGTTAATGCGACCAAAAAATAGGGCTTATTAAAAAAAGTCTTTAGTTTTAGAAACAGTAACAATAAACACATATTCATATGCAAATAATAAATATCTCGGCTTATCATTATAACAACTAGTTTTTCTAAGAATGAAAGGAACTACTCTACTTTATGTAATTTGTACTCTTAGTATTGCCCAGTGTTTTCTTTACAAATATCTATTAGACAAGCACAGAAATTAATTCTATAATTGAGTTACCAATGCCCTACATTCCCTGCTTTTAAACCCATGTCCTCCCATTTAGTCTTGCATTATTCCACTCTGCCCCTCTTCGACTTCCCACACTTCTTTGTTTTGCCACATGCACATTGGTATGGGCATCTGTAATCACATGGACAGCTAATTCATCCCAGCAAACTCCCTGTAACAATTCTTATCTTCAGAACTCAAAGCTTTAACAAGCAATTATTCAAACAAATCTATTTTGACAGAGAATTATGGTAACACTGAATAACCTTTGTTAGATTTACTTGCTGTTTTTGAACTATTTGTGGAAAACTAAAAAGAGTGGCTTCGAAGTCAATAGGTCTACAGGAAAAATGTCCAAAACTTAAATATTGTTTCAAGGTATAAGAAAAGAAGATGGGAGAAATTGTAAATTATTTCACAGAGATAGTAACATTTGTATTGTTTTCATTGGCAGGTGTACCCTTAAGGGTTCATTAACCCTTAAGTAGTAACAAAATTTATTGAGATATAGGTTATATCGGCTACTCAGCCCGTGATTCACTTTGCACGATATTCAATGTTTTTATTGAATGTACAACAAATAAGACATTTATGTGGAACCTTGAATTTTCTCCTGCTCCAATCAGGAATTCAACCTGGGTATTGAGCATTGAAACCTAACACACTCACTCTCAGCACTCTTCAATGCTGAACAATCTGCACTTTCATAACAATGGATACTTCTTCTAAACCCCAATATATCAAATCATCAATTAATTTTAATTTACCACAAAACACTGATTACATTATGCCACTAATGTGAATATTACTCACGAAAGCATTCCAGCAATTATCTTTATTCACATCAATTGGTTCTTCTTTAATCTAGAGGTAACAGAAAAAAATCACTATGAATTATGCATAGCATCAACATATGCTGCACTAGAACATGTTTACAAATGGGATTGAGCTTCAATGATATAGTGTTAACACATAAACCTGAATCATTAGACTTACAGCTTCTATGTTAATGTTTACCGGTTCTATTTTAATAATGCTTTCCGACAAAACATGAACCTCTTCCATCACTATCACAGCCTGAGAGTAAGTGATAGTGAGTGAACAACTGTATATCCTGATGTTGACAAAGCTGAAAAAGTTACTTTCTATAACTAGTTACAGGTAAGCAGTAACTACTCCAACTAGATGCAAGGCCGGTTCACTCAATGTTAAAAGCAGAGAGTATGTTAAAAGCAATGTTAAAAGCAGTGGTTAAAAGGCGGGGAACTAAGTTTGTTTCCTCACTCCCGGACCTGGTGCAGATAGCGCAGCTGTTGCGTTTTGGCGCGCATTTTTCTTTCATTTCTAAGCCATGACGAATATCGCAAATACAAATCATTGTTAAGAAAAGTCATACGGCAGGCTAAAATCATGAAACAGGACAGAATAATTTGAACTCAATAATAAAACCAAATCAATGTGTAAAATAGTAAAATATTCGACCAAA